AAAAAAAAAAAAATCAAATTATTTAATAAATTAATGGTTATTTGGGTTACTTGATGAATATTATAAAAACATTTAGTAGTAAAATAATTCGAAATTTTTATAATTGTTAAAATTAGTACAATTGTTATTATTTGTTTAGTTTTTTAACAATAATTCAAAATTTGTATGATTTCTAGTAGTAAAATAATTTGAAAATTACATATATTCAATTTAGTATAAAAAAAAACTTCCACATTTATAATCATAAAAGAATATAATACAAAATCCATAAAAGAATTTCAATGGAATCATATAAACTAAAGAGTGAAAAAAAAAACAAAACATATGTAGATAAGTAAATTACCTCAATTTTCCTGCATTCTTCATCAAATTAAGGAACCTATTTAAATAAAAAATTAAATCATTAGAGGAAGAATAAAAATATATATAAGAAAGATGAAAATAAAAATAAGAAAACTTTTATTTAAACCTTGAATTCTAAATTAAAGGAATTAAAAAATTAAACAAAAGTAAAATAAGAATGCGGAAGAAAGATATAAGAAAGAAGGAGAGATTGAGTAAAAAGGAGAAGAGTGAAGCAGTATATATAGAGGTAGATATTGATTAATTCGGATAGTTAAACTCACCGAAATAAAAAATGCTGAGCGTGAAGCGGGAAAGAACAGAGACTAGTTCGGTCATTTTTCTTGACCGAAAAAGGTATGATTTTTTCGGGCAAGGTTATTGACCGAAATAGGGACAACTTTTTTGCCATCTTCCCCTGCAGTTGTTCCTTTGCTCGGTTAATTATGATGTATTAGTAATAAGTTGTTCATGTTTTCACTTATTAGTTTAGTTTTTGCTGTTTGATGTTTCCTCTTATTTTTTTAACTTAATTTGTTTGAAAATTTTTTTAAAATAAAATTTATAATTAACATAATATAAAATTTCTATTAATTATTTATCTTTATATTTTAAACATATATTAAAACATACAATTAAAGTATATAAATATAAAAGATAGGCTAACATTATGGGGGAGGGAGGACAGGGGTGCAGGGACTGGCATGTTTCGGTCACTGTTAGTGACCGAACAAAGCCATGAATAAATCTAAAGCTCTGCACATTTCCATGCGGAATAGGGGCTGGAAATGGTGGTGCAGGAGTCAGGCATGTTTCGGTCAGTCACACTGACCGAAACACCCATGAGGAATCTCAATGCAGATTCGCTGCTTGTTTCGGTCAGTGAGACTGACCGAAACAAGCATGGGAGATCTGCTAACTTACAGAACTCCCATGCGTGCACAGGGAAACAATTTCCTTATATTTTTTTCAAGCAACCTTTTTTAGCCAACGAATCTAAAAAATCTGTTATGCAGATTTATCATGCATCTTTCTGCAAATTTTGCAGTCAAAAATCATTTGTTTATTTAGTTTAGTTTAATTGACTGAAGAAATCTTTTTTTTTTGGGGATTTTATTTCGGTCATTTTTTATGATCGAATTAGTGAATTTCATACTAATTTTTTTTTGGAAGTGCCATTTTTGTTTTCTAGTATTCGGTCAGTGGGCTTGACCGAAATTGACTGAAGAAATCTTTTTTTTGGCAGATTTTATTTCGGTCATTTTTTATGACCGAATTAGTGAATTTTATACTATTTTTTTTTCTTGGAAGTGAAATTTTTGTTTTCTAGTATTCGGTCAGTGGGCTTGATCGAAATTGTTTTATTTCGGTTAATCTCACTGACCGAAATTAGTTGAGACCGAACTGCATGCCTGTCTTTATTTAATTCGGTCGAACTTATTTTTTGGTCATTACATATGACCGAAATAATATGCTTTTCGGTCAAGATTATTACTTGACCGAAATATCTGGACCGAAAAAAGTACTTTTTTTAGTAGTGCCAAATATTTATTTTATAATAATTTTAAAATAAATCTGATTATAT